CTCTGTAACTACTGCTGCATGCATCATGGACTCAGGTAGCACGTCTCCCCTGGCTGGAGGTCACACAGTCATTTTGTTGGCAAACAAAAGCCAAAAAAAGTTGGCATCTAGTCGTCTAATAAACAACGTTTCCAGTTGAAGATGGGTTGATGTCAAAGAGCCGCCCCCCTCCCCCCAGCACTCTAAAACAGGACACCCGGCGTTTTGGGTGTAGCCGCTGTCGACGGGTTCAAAGAAGCTCCGCAGTTACGACGGTTGAAGAGCAACGAAGATCCATTTCATTCTTTTAGCATCTGTGTACATAACGAACAAGAACGTTAGACTTTTTAAAGTGTTAACGGGTCGGGGGGGTTCTGACAGCTCAGCGCGCACACATACACACACACACACACACACACACGCGCACACGCGCACAGCTGTTCAGTTTTAAACTGCACTTAACTTCATGAAGCTTACTTTGTAGTGAGGGACTAACCCCACAAGACAGAGCCACGCTGAGTCTTAAGGTAGTATTGTGTGTGTGTGTGTGTGTGTGTGTGTGTGTGTGTGTGTGTGTGTGTGTGTGTGTGTGTGTGTGTGAGAGGGAGAGTGGGAGAGACAGTTTGTGTCATGAGGAGGTAGAGCTGTATCTGCTAACCGTTACTCCGACCAGACAGTTCGCCTGGTTTTCACACACACACACACACACACACACACACACACACTATTTACCTTTGGCCGGGTACAGACGCAGTGACAGTCGCCACTTAATACAAAGAGACGGTTCCTCCGACGACGACTGGGGAGTCAAAGTAAATCTGGCTGAACATGGAACACAGCAGAGAGGAAACATTAACAAAAGCATTCCACAGAGCGGCTGAAAGAGATACGGCCACAGACAGACAGACAGTGATACGGGGGGGGGGGGGTTGTGCGATTGTTGTGTGCCAGCATGACACCGTAGAGAGGAATTTGTTTGTTGGGCAATCGGTTCAAAGGTGCAGAAACGTTGGCGCTATCAAACTGACTGTGGCCACGGCTGAAGTGGATGTACGTGAGTACTTGTTATATTTTTAGATGACTCATTTGTTCTTTGAGGTTTGCCTAAACATGTTCCACAAGCAGAATACATTAGATGGTTGGTTAACTTGATTTTAAATATTAATTATCCTTTTTTCCTCACAGACCAAACAAATCAAAAGAAAACTCTTGAGCAGATTCATTAATAATGAAAGTAATCATTAGCTGAAAGACAATGATTGTCCACCCACTATAGGTCCTTCATTACACTTACTTTTAACTTGTTCTTAAAGTACCGAATCGTTCTTATCCCCCCGTTACCAAGTCACGCCTCTGCTGCCTTTAAGATTTCCACCTTAAGCAGAATCCACGCACTTAATCCCTGTAATACAACACTATTCTGCCTGGATTTGGGAACACAGATTCCCACCCTTGGTTTTGTTGGTCTGTGGGGGAGGAGGAAGAGGACAAGGCCAAGAGGGGAAAGAGGGGGTATAGTGAGAACAGGAGAGGGGGGGGAGGGTTTGATAAACGCCGTGTTGCCAGTGGGCCATAAATTCCGAGGAAAGGGAGGGAAGACGGGAACGAGGTAATAGAAGCCTTATCCGGGAGTCATACTTGGATGTCTCAAACAAAAAGGAGGCCAGGAGAGAAGAACTGACTGACACGGTCTGCACTGTATCAACACACCCGGGGAGTGTGTGTGTGTGTGTGTAGTACTACCGAGTATCACATACAAAACAAGGAATACGTTTAGCATGAGGCCCTCGCCGCCACCTCCCAAGGAAACCCTCACATGTCCTATTTTGGTGTCCTCGTTGCTTCCCATGGTGCCTTGCAGCTGCGTGTCCGTTGGTAATCTCGCTGCCGTCTTATCGCGTCCGCTGGAAAAGAACACGCCGCTCGCCAGGTTCACAAACAACGCGGACTCGCCGCTGCCGACTTTGAAAACAAGTGACTTCGGTAAACATTGTCTCAGCGGGGGTCCTGACCCCCACGACCCCCCCTCCTTCCCCCCCGTGGGAAAGCTGTTGTTTAGGTGCATGAAAGCGGGGAGATAAATCGGAGGTGGCGAGTGTCAGGAGGTGTGAAGCTGCCCTGTTTCCCTCCCCGTTGGTGGTGCAGCATATTTCCATTTTGATGGAAGCCAGTTAGCACACGATGACACGCCGGGAAGAATGCGTTTCAGTTGCAAAAGGCCCATTGAAGACCAGCATATAAAAAACTCTTTAGGATGAATTTATTTAATAGGATTCAGACAGAATAGTCAACTCCAGTTGACCTCCTATAGTATTTATATTATATCTACAATTGAAAATGTCTTATATTTCGTTGTTTGTTTTGGGAGACATTATTCATCAATATGGAGCCCAAGCTTCACTCTGCGGTGTTCAGTGTTTCAGAAAGGCTGCCGAGGACCAACCAGGAAAGTGACTGACACATGTCCAACATTTAAATGTCCACACAGACGTCCGTCTGCCGGAGTGATTGACTGCAGGTGCGTGTGCGTGAACGTGAAGGTAAACGCTGTCAGGCCGACCGTGTGTCTGCAGTCAGTCATCTGCAGGCGGGACAGACAGTCGCACGCACGCCGCTTGGCAGAACGACCAAACGGCAGATTTGGATGACAGACCGGCTGATGCAAAAAAAAAAAAAAAAATGTGTGGCATCCTTTAGAGGAATAAAGAGAGCTCTGGAATATCTGCTAGATTTAAATCTCTGCATCGTGGTGATGTGAAGATACGCAGTCAGGATGGAGATGATAATCTTAATGGACTGGTCATCTGTCTGTGAGCCCCGGATTCACACACACACACACACACACACACACACACACACACACACACACACACACACACACACACACACACACACACACACACACACACACACACACACACACACACACACACACACACACACACACACACGGTTTATAGATCTCAAAAGCTTTCTGCCGCTCTTGAATGGAATCAGCTTAAAGAGCAGAGGGTTATTGGAAAGCATTGTAAGGACAGTAGAACGGTGTCTTTTTAGATACCAGGAGGGACACGCTGGCGCTGAACGGGACTGTGGCAGAATGTTTTATCATCGGACTACACACGGAGATCAGGGATGAGACTCGATGTGGTGCACTGCACTGAGATCGCTCACGGCTACTTGTGTCAGTATAAAGCTTCATGACAGATGTCGTCTTAACTCGACTAATGGAAACCACTTCAGCCACCGCCTTTAGGCCCACACACACACACACACACACACGAGCCTCTGGTCATGTCTATAAAGTCAGTCCACCTGAAGGTTAACATGAAGAAGCTCCTTCTTTCATACACACACACAAACACACACAGACATGGCTTAGTTTGTCCCATTTAATCAAACAAAGAAAACATTGCCCTAAACAAAGAGTGTCTTTTTACGGACGGTCTGTAACCGTTGTGAACGTATCCGGATGGTACCTGCCGCTTCAGAAGGCAGATCCTCATCTTAAATTGGTCTGAAGCATCACTTTAGGAGCTTTGAGGGTGACAAGAACAGTCACAAGGACCCTTCAAAAGGCAAATGAGTCTAAAATATAATGTCAATCTTTCAGTGATCTTTCCATTGAGAGATTTTTCTGCGGCATGTTGTGTTCTGCAGCTCATAGAAGAGGAAGACGGGAGAGGATAAGAATGGAGTCAGGAACCTTTGGTTACACTTTAACCATCGGAGTCACAGGAACTCCCCCCCAGTCTCATCAAACATTTGCCAAACTTGTTACAGAGTTCAGTTACAACAGGAAAACTGGAGATTCACGGCGCATTGGAAATTGAAACATGGAGGGAGGGGGTGAAAAGTCTTTGGAGCTTTTCAAAGCAGAAAATGAAAATGAGCTGCCACTAAATGAGATTTTGTGCCTATGAACCTGAAACAGATGTAGAAAACACGGCAGTCTTCCAGATCAACTTCAAATGACACATAGACTAAATGGGTAAACCTAGTAATTAAAACACTACACCTTTGAGTCATCTCTACCTCATCTACAAGCTGCCGGGGGGCAGGGGGGGCCTCCCGGTGGAGTCGGGGTGTAATCTAGTGAGACTAGCGAGAGCAGATGTGAAACCTTTCAAGAACCTGTCCTGCTTAATATGAACCGACAGGATTTCTGCCTCGCTGGGCTTTCATTAGGCCGCTATTATTTTGGCATTCAGTGACGGAGCGCAGCGCTGCAAGTCCCATGTTTAACTCCCATAAACAAACAAAACTAAGTGTATTTTACAGGATTCACCAGCTTTTCTTAAAACACAAAAAATGATTGGCCTTGATTCCGCCACAGCGAAGCCTCGTGGGACACCAAACCCCTCGGTTTGTCGGTGATCTATCCCCCAAAGGGTTCAATGTCCGCCGAGCAGTTTACCAACCCGTCACTTTCACCACCCTCATTAACAGCAAGACAGACGGACGGACGCGTCGCTGCCGATGTGGACGGTTAGAAAAGGAGCCGCAGCAGGAACAAAGTTACCGGGGAGCCTCTTGATGTAGAGACCCGGCTCGGCTTAACAAACCGCACCTGGAAACTTCAAGCCTCCCGGCAGCCGTCCAGGCTCAGGGAGGCAGACGATCACAGCGTGGGTGGTGGGGGTGAGGGGAGGGTTGGCAGACTCACAGAGACAGACAACAGCGGAGCCGGGACGGGAGCACTTCAAAAAAGGTTTCGGAAATGAGTCCCTGGGAGCGCGTCGCTGCGGACGGGACGTCTTGTGAGGCACCGCAAGCATTTTGGACATTTCACCGAGGTGTTAGTAACGCTACGAGAGATGCTGCGCAATGAGGATGAAGCCCACAGACGGGACGGACCGGTGAAGGACGGGATGGTCGTGGTCTTCAGAGGGAGTGCACACATTGGAAAGGGGTGGGGTGTGTGTGTGTGTGTGTGGGGGGTGTTGAGGTGACACTAAAGACTATGACAGAGGCGATGATGACCATGACAGATGAAGCTCGGCCGGCCTCTCGTGACTCACCCTTCTCGGCGCGCCCCATGTGAGCTGGGTCCAGCGGGAGCAAAGCAGAGGACAACAAGACAGCGTTAGAGTGCAAAGCAAGCACAGGTGTGGCATCACATACACAAGAGCAAAGGGAAACGGCTCCCTGGTTGTTGGGCGACAACAAGCGATTCAGTTTCATCCCGACCGAGATGCTGTTTAACACAGTGAGGAGAGGAACTGTGAGCGACCAGCCTGTAGAGAAAAGGTGGGGCGGATTATCTGTTGGTGCCCAACCTCGACCTTTGACCTTCACCTCAGGCAAACATTTTCCCAAGACTGTTGTCACCTACCTTCACACACACACACACACACACACACACACACACACACACACGCACACACACACACACACAGATCAGCCATGACCACATTTGAAATCGCATTATCACCAAACAAGACTACACAACTGGTACTGATGCTGCTCACATCTGAGTGTGTGTGTGTGTGTGTGTGTGTGTGTGTCTGTGTGTGTGTGTGCACTGTAATGTCATTAATCAACTGAGGGTGTTGATTACTTAATCTGTCATTAGCCAGCCATGTGTGTTACTGTGTGTGTGTGTGTGTGTGTGAGGCAGCCGGGTGTTTCTGGGCCCTCGTGTACTGACAGCTGTGACCAGAGCCAAACGGGGCCGAGCAGAGATTGATGATACTGGACTAATACCATCATTCATCAGGGAGCTGATATTTCAGGGTCTGGGACGCGTCTTGGACCGACTGCCTCCCTTCGTCTCTGATGAGACTTTTAACACTTCTCTGGGTTTCACGTCCCGCCCGCTGACTTGATGATTCTCCCCGATCACGTAGTGGGATCTACAGGACCAGAACATCAGCTGCGCGTCCATCTCGCCCATTTTAATGTTCATTTGTAAATTGTGCATGAATTCAAAATTGAATGGAAACAACAGGATCGAGGATGAACAGACTGTTGATGTTGCAGTACCTGCTTCTTCCACTTCAGACGTATGCTTATGAAATCTAATATATATAATATATATAGGCCTACACACACAATAGTATTGTTTAAAGTCTATAAAGGCAGGTACAAGAAGCACCAATGATAACCCACGAACGGTTCTTCATTAATGATGAATAAAATCAACAAGAAATAATAACAATAGACCAACTCATATGTTTCACTTTGCAAAAGAGGCATTGTGCCGTCACAATATTTCTTTCGTACGAGTACCAAAGCGCCCCTCATCGCAGCATGGCGTATGGAACATGAATCATGTGTGTCAATCATGTCGTGTGCTCACTTTCCATCATTCTTAACGCCCTGACAACAGAACGCTAAAAGGTTGCTAATCTGTTTTTCAACTCAAACCTTCGAATTCATTCATCCACACACACACACACACACACACACACACACACACACACACACACACACACACACACACACACACAGTCTAATAAGGGATTAGCTAATGAATTCTCTCAACAGATTAATTACATTCACACACACACATTACATATACATTCATGCTTGTGTGTTTTGGGGACTTCCTCCCCAAATGACTGAAGGTACGAGCCGCTCCTTAGGAGAGATGTTTTTGTTTTTTTTAATCTATCGCTAAATTAAAATCTGTGGGAACCGACAGGCTCCGTCGCACAGCGGCGTTTGATTTGAAGGAGACGACATTACGATGGATCTGAAAGACCGCGCGCTCGTGAAAAAAACAAGAAAGAGAAATGAAGCGCCCTTTGATTTGGTGCCATTTTACACGGCGCGGGCAGAACGCGAAGGCCGTTTCACACGATGAGAGGCAAACATTTCACATCCCCGTCTTTGTACCACTGGACTCCGGAGGGCTTAAAAGACTCGGCCTTCGTCCTTCTCCACAAGTGACAGCAACACACATGAGTTCATACACACACACACATTGGCTCAACAAACCCACACGCACAGGGCATGACAGAGAAACACACACACACACACACTCCCTCCCTCCCTCCTGCCGTCCTCACAGTCCCTTGAGTGGAGAAGATGCCCACGGCCCAAAAAACAATGGTTGCATTGCTTTCTGTCTCTCTCACACACACACACACACACACACACACTCCTCCCCTCTTCTCACTATCACTCTCTTTCTCTGGGGGGGGGAACGCTCTTATTTCTTCAGCTTCAAATGACTTTGGCTTTTAAATGGAGCCAAAAAGTAATTATAATCAAGAGAACTAAGTTGTAATGTTGAAAATACTAAAAATAATTTACAATTATAATTAAACCAGCTCAGATGTGGCGTTCAGTTGCGGCGACAGCCTTCTAATTCGGCTGGAGACACTAATGGAAAACAATTATTTCACTTCATTAAGATTAAAGACGCCTGGAATCTGTGTCACAGCTCCATCAGAGAGGAGGCAGATTTAGAAAGTTGTCACAACATTAACATAAACTCACCCGATCTATCAAACTGAATAACCGAAAAACAAAACTGCTGCAAAAAAGCACGATAGGAAGAGGGACGGATTTAAATAAAAGCCATAATTTACGGTTTGACTTTGTAAATGGGAAAATGGGAGATAAGGACGGAAATGAGACAGATTTAGAGGGGAATCATCTCGACACAAACTCAAAGTGACTCCGTTCAAATGTGATGGAGGCTTTTAAATCGCTGCCACTGATTGTCTTGTCCTTGTCGGTGATTCCAGAGAGCAGCGGGCCGCTGCTGATGCTGCTGCACCACAACACGCATCTCTCATTATTGGCTAGGGATCTAATAATCACCCCCCCCCCACCCTCCCCAGTGACAGTTCACACCGACCACAGCCCATTAACCCCATCAGCGTCCTCCGCTGGAGCGTTTCCCCAGAAGTGATCTAATAAAAGTGCTGTCAGTGATGGAAGCGGCCGTTAGTGCTCGCTTGCATCCTGCAGCCGTCCAACAAGAAAAATGCACTTTGTCTTCTTTAACGCTTCATTTTTCATCAGTGGGATCCACGGGGTAAACAAGACGCAGACGGCAGCAACCACCCCCCCCCCCCCTTCATTGCAATTGAACCATCATTTTCCTACATGTATACTTTCTTTTGGTCTGCAAAACAAAACAACACAACTGCTACCCCCCCCCCTCCCCCTCCCCCTCTATCACTAGCATTTACTTGCAAATTAACGACCCCTTAAATTCCCAAAGAGGCCTCAAAGAAATTCCACACATTTGTTACCCAGAAGGCCAAATGGCCACAGGGGAGGGAAAGGGGGGATGGAGGAGGGAGGGGGGCAATAAAACGCTCACAGATGAGGTGGTGATTAATGTGGAATTTTCTGAAGTATAAACGAAGCGAGGACGAATGCTGAGGCAGAATAAACACGCTTTTATACTATTTCTGGTTATTTGTCCTTTATCACAGCGGGGGGATGGAGGGGGGGGTCGTCCGAGGGGTCAGTAGCAGTTTTGGAGGTGAGCTTTCTAACAGCTGTGCGGGGTCTCTCTTTCGCTCCGATTGTGCACGCGCACGTGTGTTTGCGTTCCGAGAGGAATGCGTAAATATACCCGCAGGTAAAAGAGAAGAAGTTTTAGCCCGACAGCTGCCGGACACCGTGCACGGGACTTTGGGTTTTCCTGCGCGTGCGATCCGGTCCGGTGCCAGGAAAGCCACCCCGGGACGTTTCCTCCTGGAGTTCATTCAGGGGGACTTTGGGCATTTTGGCGTTTCCACGGAGCGCTGCGGATCTCCGGTGATGCGCGTACGCGCGGTATCTGCACATTTAGACGGGAGCAGAGAACGCAAGTTCCAAGAGAAAAAGCCCCCCAACATACATCCACGGATATTTGTCAAAGAGTTTTACAGGCCGTGGAAAATCACAACTAGCATCCTACATATGCAAATTTGTACGTTAGATCGAATCGGTGTCTCCGAAGTTGAACACGGGAGACCCACGGGGGGAAACAATCCACGTAGGCAAACAGGCGATCAGCGCCGGGGCACCGACGAGATCACGGTTAAGAAAAACAAATTTAAAAAAACATGCAAATTACAATTCATGAGGATATCGCATTTATTATGGGGTGGTGGTCGCCGTGCACACCGTAACTTTTCACGGTGACCTCATCGCGCTGTACATTGTTGCGCGATGTGTTCTTTTTTTTTTTGCTTGATCAGACCTCAGTTTGTATAGAAAGTCCGGATACCAAATTCAACACAATCAGAAATATTGTATTAGTTTGAAACCTTCCAACCAGATCCGTGCGTCTCGCGGACGGTTTTTAAAACAGCCACGTAAATAAAAGCTTTCGCAATACAGCAATTACTGACCCCAAAAACACGCGTATTCACGCCACGAAACCTGCGTGTCTCGCATCCGAGGGTTGTTTTTTTGTGTGCGTGTGTGTGTTCTGAAAAACCACCACGAAGAGATAAAAAAAGACACGACGGTACGTTCGTTTTAAACACGGAGCCGAACTTTTCTGCTGCACCTAAACACACCTGTCGAGAGATTCCTACGCGACGCACGGATGGATTAAACGAGAGGAAAAATAGTGCAAACTTTACAAAGAGAAAAGCATCTTTTAACTATTTCGTCCTTACCTGTCGGTATCTGGCCGGAGACGGTACCAACGCCCGAAAGGAGAAGCAGGAGTCCCGGGAAAACAGCGCAAAGTGTATCCATGTTTTAAAAACGTGGCTGCGTTTTCAGTCCCCGGAACAGTTTTACACCCCGGAAAAGTTTTCCCTGCGAGTTCTCTCCCTCTTCTCCCCCAGTCTTCAGCCTTGTTTATTGCTCTTTCTTTTCGTGGGTTATTATTCCTCCTGTTGTTGTGGATTCAGCCGCTCCATTCTCTCCTTTCTCCGGTCTCTCTCTCTCTTTTTCGCTTCCTACGGGCTCCGGCGGACACCACACTTTGTCTCACGCGGAGAGGGAGAGGGAGAGAGAGGGAGAGGGAGAGAGAGAGAGAGAGAGAGAGGGAGTACGTGACGTCACGAGGCTGGAGTTAATTGACAGAAATAACAAATGAAGAGGAACAATGTAGCGAAACATACATATATATTTCCTGTACTGCGTTTCCGTCGGTATCGTTTCAATATTGTATTTCTATTTTAGTATTGTGTCATTATTACGTTATACGTTTCACACTACCGAATTTATCATGACTTTTTTATTTTTTTATTAATAGGAATGTAAGCACCACCATCAACATTTCTAATATAGATTTAACAGACAACCAATATTGTTGTTATCACCACTAATGTGACATACTTTCTATTTTCATGAACACTAGGGGGACTTCAGGTACTTGCTCTTCGTTCTTTTACTTCATACATTAAAAGTTTGATTAGCCACTGCAGTACATTTATTTGAGTTATTGTCTGATTTTATTGGGTTTATAATGTTTGTTTGTTGGACTGTAGACTATAATAAATATAAAAAATAAGCTTTACCTCCACACACTCAAACATTGAAATGTTTCATATTTATGTATCAATAATAATGATCTACTATTGAAATGCACATGGCGATCAAACATGATGAAATAGGACCATTCTACATGGAGACTACCTCTTTGTTACTTTGGGTATATTTTCTGATACTTTTGGATTCCGACCAAGGTACAGTTTGGAAATCTGGGCTTTCACGTGGAGAGCATTTATTATTATGTTATATTATCACTATGAATTAAAGCTGTTAAGGTTGACACATAGAGCATCAGTGCAGCAGCAAACACAATGTTACCTCCCTCTCTGTGGTAATCTGAGTTTATCCATTCGCTGTTGACACAGCCGGGCAGGCCATGCATGGTTTTAGTGAATGTTTTTGGAAGTGAGTGGCCCCCACTGCTCAGCTCACTCTGTGGAATCGTACTGCCCACCCTCCGGTTTGCCCCAAGGTACTTTATCTATGTCAGCACTTTTTGCAGTTTGTTTTTTTTGCACTGCTCAGCCATGTTAAGAACCGTTGAGAGTTAGAGATGCTCTCAATCTTGTGTAAAGCACTTTTAAGCAATTGGGCAAATTTGAATTTGTCAAGTTAAAAGGTAACCGCATGTCCAAGTTGCGTTTAGGAAGTGTTTTTACAGTCTCAATGTGGACAGAATGTTGAAGGTTACACATTGAGACACACTCCTAGTGAATGAACAGGTGCAGCTCTGGTCGGCCCACTGACAAACAGCTCAAAGACAAAACTAACCTTCCACAATCCAGGACCCCCAAAGGCACTCCTGCTAATGAATAGAAAAGAGTATGAATAGAAGAGGCCCCAGGACCAGTGCAGGGCACCGCGGCTTGGATCTGCAACGTCATCAAGATGAACCCCCAGCAGGTGCTTCCTCTTGATTTAAAGGAGACCGTGGGGACCTTTTCTGGACTGTGAATAAATAACTGTCATTTTTTATATGTGCTAAGATTCTTTTCTGTCCAGCAAAATGATTTAGGTTACCTGCGGATTTGGTCGGAGGATGACCTTTGCATCCCTGGTTTTCAGCCCACGAAATGCGTCGCGAGAAAATTGCTTTTGGAACCCTTCCACTTCCCCGATGCGTTTTCTGGATATATACAATTGCTTATGTGTTATGACACACTGTTTGCACCATTATGTGCTCCAGATAGAACTAAAATAATCCCACCACGTTTCCCCATCTACACACAGCGGTGACAGCCGCGCGTGTCGACGTGAGGCTTGATGACATCATGGCATCACGACAGGCGCTCGACAAAAGACAAAATCGATGTTTTGACGTGGCACACAGGCGAGCTAAAAATACGTGGCTTCGATGGAGAACACAAGAAGGGAACCACTGCGTGTCCTCCTAGGATGCTTCCACCTCTCCCACAGTTAAAAGGTGTAAAAATCTCCTCTCCCATGTTTCTGAAAATAATATTCTCACGTTTGCGTACTTCGGTCTCTGCAGAGACATTAGCCTCGCAGCATTGCTGGATGGTTGGTGCGCTGCTATTTATGGCCGTTTTCTGACCGTGCCCTTCAAATAAACCAAACCAAATATCACTGTGATGCCACTGTTTGGCTTCAAAATGTGAACTTGTAACACAGTGTTTGTACTCTGCCATTAAAGACGGCGGTGCATCACGTTTGCAGGTTTCAGGTTGTTATTTTCTCATGCGCACTGCTCACACGCACACATGGAGGCAGCTGTTGCATTTGCAGGTTTGTATACTGCGAGCTGAAATCGTCTAAGCGACCCTTTTGCAGCGGTATGTAGTAATGTGGACACAACTCTATTGGTACACATGAAGGTCTTTGTTATCCTCTCCGAATACCAGAGTGTGTTTGACAGCAGAAATATCTACCTGAAGTACGCATTTCAAAGATGAAAACCTTTGTAAACATTCACTTTTAATGTTGGATGTTGAACATTAAAGCATTTTTTCTTTTTCTCTTTCAGAAGCCTTTGGACCAAACATTGTCTTTCCCAGTGTGAATTCTGGTTGCAGTGATGTTTAGAGTGACTCTCTCCCGACTTCCCTTCATCCCTTTCGTGAACAAAAACTACCACGTTGCAGCACTTATCGGCTTCGGGTCGTAAAAGTCTGCCGAGAGAAACATCGCTGTGTAATAACGGGTCTGGCAAGGGAAAAAATCCCTGTGCCGGAAATGGACAGCAAGCATAAATAGTTATTTCATTAGGAGCCCTTTTGAACCCTTTAGATTTTTTCAGCAATCTGACCAGTGTTGTTTTTTTATGCCGAGCCTGTGACCAGACAAAAATCCAAATATCCAACTGTTTTCTAAAACCCCTGAGTACGTCCAGTGACACATCTTTTTATTTGTATTCTTTAAGTTCAATGCCTCAGGAGTAATGTGTCTCGAGGGAAGTCAGGGTCCGTCTTGTGGATGGTCCCTCGCTTTGCTCCGAACCTCAGCAGCGGCCACTTGATGGTCTGCCATGAACTTTTTACGTCCATGTCCCTTAAGAATAAAGCCCACCGACTATACCAGCCACATGAGCTGATATTTTGAATGTTTTAGTAAAATGTATCAACGGCTATTAAGAGGATTTATGTTGATCATTCTCAGATGATGAACACTAACAACTTTAGCGACCCCTAGACTTTCATTTGGGCAAATTTTTTTTTCTCAAAACATTCATGTCTCCAAGAGCATAAAAATGGCAATGACTTTTTCAACTACCCGAGTTTTTTGAGAATTGTCTCAAAAAGCTATTGAATGGATTATTGTGGCATTCATGGCCTTCCTCAGAATGAGTTTTAACACGTAATACTGAATGATATTCTCATCAGCGTCAGCGACGTTTCTTGTGCTAATTAGCATGTTAGCATAGCACAGTTCATTCTTTTCTCACATATGACACATGCACAGCTAGTCTACCTCAGTGTCCCTCTGACCACTGCTTGACCGACAGACTATTAAAGGCAGGAACATTTTCGTCCTCTTCCAATGTCTGTCTGTCATGTGCTTTATTTGACACAGAGGAGCCAAGACTGACTTTGTCCTCAGGAACTTTTAGAAGGTTCAATTTTACAATACAGAGGAAATGGAAAAGCAAAATCCATCAGGCTGCACCTCATACTTCAGGCTGCCCTTTCCCTTTTGGATAAATCATATATTGTATTTAAAATGGCTTTCATCTCTGGCAACTAGAAATTTAAAGATGATTTGACTTCAAACAAGTTCAATTATTACTGATGTGACTCAATGGATCATGAGACATTACAGCAAATGTTGACATCAAGTCAGACAAGTTTGGTGGCAAAGGAATGCCAAACATCTGTCAAAAAACTGTCAAAACAATTAAGTGAATATAAAAGTAAAATGGGAGTTAATGGGAGATTTGATAGGACATTCAATTGATCACATAAGCAAAGAGTCATAGAAGCTCTGATGAAAGAGGACTCGAGGTTGTCTCTTGGTTTTGGATTCATCCATTCACAGTCTTCAATGAAAAGGCAATATGTTTTTATCCAGGTCTTTAAAAAGGTGCAACCTTCACTCTGTTCTGATGAATACGAGGTCCTTCAAATGGAGGAAATAAGTTTTTCAATATTTGAATAAAACGTTTTTGCTCAAGAGAACTTAATGAAACGTTCAGATTTGACAACTATTCGGTTAATTTGAGAGAACAGGAAGGCCGGACATTCCAAACCAAGCTAAATAAATATAAAGATTACACAAGTGTTAATTATGTTTCAACGGTTGAAAATGTAAAACTCCACTCCATGACCAATGCGATTTATTCATTAATTTGAAACTATAATAGTAATTCTCCAAACCATTCAGAGTTCACATTTGCGCATTAACACATAAAAACTAACACGGATCAGCAGCTTTATTCCTTTTCATTTTCACACAACACGCAGTCAAAGGACAAGGCTTCATCTGTGTGAGTGAGTTTGAATCAATTAAAATGCATGTGTATAACTGAAGGCCCGGAAACGACCTCAGGCACTAATTCTATGTAAAGGAGGCAGTGCTCTTATATACAGTAGAATGTCACTTTGTTGTGCGCAAAAAAAAAAGATGTGAAATTAAAAAATACACCAAGAAACCCATTCAAAGAAAACGGTTTAAGCGCCCTCAACACCTTTTGCACAGATGTGACGGAGGTTGGTAGGTTCGCCCCCACCCACCAACACCAACCAACTCAGGTGGTGAGAATGGAATTAAAAGGAGAAAAGAGGGAAGTGAATGTGCAGACACTTTCGAAGGACAAAGCTCTGAATAGGAGAGGAAATAAAGGGAAGCTGGAATGAAACCAAAATACCGCAGCTGAAAGTCAAAGATGGAGCCAAATGAACCGTGCGAAAAACAAAAAATACAAATAAAACAAAGAGTCTTTTCAGAAGGAAGAAACACTTCCTTGCCAGCACTTTTGGAAAAACATTCGTTCAATATTTATCATCAGATTATTAAACAGATATAGATAAGAAGAGACCAGCGA